AAGCGGAGAAAAGCGAAGAACCCCCCCCCCCCCCCAGGGGGGTGGCCACGCCGCAATCCCTTCTCCTCCACTCTCCTCTTGGGATCTTGGGCACGCATGCACACGCGCCCGGCATGAGTTTTAAGCCACTGGGTCTGGGACGTGAACCACGGTTGACTACGTGAGAGTCCAGCGACATAGCCATTACGCTAACTGCTGGTCCCTCAGCAGATGGTATTTTGGAAGATGGACTCCTGTTTCTGTGAGCACTGCAGGAAGACACCAGGCAGCGATACACCCTGTGCCGGCTGTCGGGCCGGGGGAGCCTCCTGAGGGAGTGTGGCTGGGTGTCCCCATCCACAGCCTCAGGGCCACCAGGGTCTCTGCGCTTCCTCGCCCGATGCCAGTCCCAAAGAGTGGCATTTCCAGATGTCTCCCAGGAGTCTCGTAGGAAGAGCTGTAATGAGAAAAAGTACTCTCTGCTGTAGATCGTGGCGGGGCCTTAATGAAGCATGGGCCAACCTGGGGCTGCAGTACATTCTCTGTAATTACCGTGCTCACCTGAGGGCAGAATTACTCCTCAGAGCTGGCATTTGTCCAGTTTTTGTTGAGATCCAAAGTTGGTGGTTTTTCTTCTTTCACCAGAATGGTTTTGTGCCCTCTGTGCTTAACTCCACAGCAGGTTGCTTTTTGGACCTTCTAGTCTGCCTCCCCTTGCTGTGGATTGATCCAGAGGCCAGCTGCACAGCGCATGCTGGTTGGTCGTCCTGCAGGCTGAGGCCACTTGAGAGGCCTGGGTTAGATTCTGGGGCTACCCTGAAATGCCGGGCGCCATGGCGCATACCTGGGGAGGCTGAGACAGGCGGATGATGACCCCCACACACAAAGACGTGATCCTCCTAAAAGCTGCTCGCTCCTCCTTGTTCTTTCCACAGAGACTGAGTCTGTCTGCTCCCTGAGGTCCGTCATGAGGGCTCTTCTCATTTTGCTCTTCCCACGAAGGCTGATAACTCTGCCATCGTCTACCCAGGGTGGGACAGTGGGTGGAGATTTGAGAAGGGTCAGGGTAGGGGAGAATTGAAATAGTTGGTTCCTGGTGGAAGGTCCAGTGACGGTCCCTGCTCTTTCTCTGGGGTGTGTGTGTGTGTGTGTGTGTGTGTGTGTGTGTGTGTGTTTGGGTTTTGCCATAGAGTGTATGTACTCGCTAAAGAGGGAAGAAACAGAGAACGTGAGAAATCAGCCCCCAGGGAGATGGCCATGGCCACTGCATTTTCCTCCATCTTCCTCCGGGCATTTTGGGCACACTTGTTGGCATGAATTTCAAGCCACTGGGTCTGGGACTTAAAACTGTGGCCGGCCCTGTGGGAGTCCAGCAATGTAACCACAACGCCACCTGCTGGCCCCCTTGGTCCTTTTTTTTTTTTTTTTTTTGGTAGAGTTTTTGCCTTAGGGCACATGTACCTAACTGAGGGGAGAGAGACACACAGAGAGGGAGAGGGAAAGTGAGAAATAACCCTGGGTCAGGGGGATGACCACACGCACACCCTTCTCCATTCTCCTCCTAGGGTCTTGGGCACACGTGCACGCCCGCCCGGTGTGATTTTCAAGTCATCGTGGGCCATGTGGGAGTCCAACCATGTAACCTATGCCATGTGCCGGCCCCTACCCTTAGTACATTTTGACCTCAGTGCTGACTGGGGCTTTCGAGGTCCCACCCCCCAGCTCTGTGCAGACTCTGAGTCCAGCGCCTCCCGGGTGACCCAGACCTGCTTCTGAGTGTGGAACTGGTGCACACAAGGCGAAGTAACTTGCTTGGTCCTCCAGGAGGTCACAGTCACAGTCACCCCTGCAGAGGGTGGCCCTGGCTCCCATCTTCACACGGCAAACCCACGTCCACAGCTTTGGTGCCCTCGGAGGCAGCGCGGAGGCCCAGCCATCCGCCTGGCAGGGTACCCGCGGACGGAGCTGCCCTTAGTGGGCGCTGGTCCTGTGCTGCCCCCGAACTAGAGACCCAAGCACAGGGAGGGATTGGGGCTTGTCAGAGAGCAGGAGGAAGCGAACTAATGGAGTAAGTGGGAGTCCTCTGGGAGAGAAGGCCAGGAGGAGACAGCAGCAGCCGGAGCTGTCCTCACAGCCAGTCTAGTTACTCCGCATGGCTGCGACATGGCCTTTCCGATCAGGAGTTTGCGTTGCTGGAACCTCGGAAGGCTGGCAGTCTACAGATGGCTTCACACCTGAGGTATTTAGAGCGATGAGACAGCATGATGCTAAACAGCTTTATAACTTGATTATTTAGGGTGTGGTTCAGTTTAAAGATGGTAGCTACTTTGGGGCCAGCATGATGGTTAAAGCAGCTGGATCCCACATGGCAGACTGCAGTTCGAGTCCAGGACCCAGCGACTTGACATATGTGTGCGTGCCCTAAATCCCAAGAGGATGGAAGAGAAGGGATTGGAGTGTGGCCATCTCCTGTGGGTGATTTCTCACTTTCCCTCTCACTTTCTCTGGCATGCATACACCCTAAGGCAAAATCCTTTTAAAAAATTATAAATAGTTTGAAAGCCAAGTTGAGCCCCTCTGGAAAAGTAAAGGCTTTGGTCTCTCAGCCCAGGGTTCTTTCTGAGCCCCTTAGGCTAGCAGCTGGGGCCTTCTGGGCTGGGCTAGGTCCCTGGGTGCAGTTGCTTGAGTTAATCCTGCCTGTGGCGTTCTTAGACGGTGGGGGCTGTATTCACCAGATGCTGCACTCACCTCCTCTCCCCGACCTCACAACTGGCGTTTTCCTAAGGAAAACACTTGTTACTTCCTGTCCTGTCACTGCAATCTCAGTGGAACGCGCATCAGAGGAAATAGTTGAAACCCCACAAGAAGTACCAGTGTAACACTGTGGGGCCTTTGCTTCATTGTCCTGGACTCCTGTGTGAAGTGCATAAACCAGTCATTCTGTATCTCGGAAAATTCGTTAGCACTGAAAAATTAGTTACGAGAGTTTTGTGTTAAACGTAGTATCTGTAGAGATTTTTGTTTGTAGGCTTTACACCTGTGGGGGAAGTTTCACGAGGATTTCGTTTCATCGCCAGAGGGTGCATACACTCGCCAGAGCGGGAGAGCCCTCCATTGGTGCACGGTCATGTCGCACCCTTCTCCATCTCTCCATCCCCTTGGAATCTCAGGCACGCACACATATGCACCTGTCGTGCATTCAAGGTGCTGAGGCCGGGATTCAGACCACTGTCAACCATGCAGAATCTGGCTCTCGTAACCACTGCACTACAGGGCAAGCCCCCAGAAGGAATTTTAAGGCTTGCCACTCACATTAAAAGCTGTTATAAGAGTCTGAAGTTTTAGTATATCTTATATGACTTAAATGTGATTGCCACGGCAGCTTAAAAAGGACCAGATTTGTTCTGAATGCTTTTGGATCCATTTTCACGAGAATGTGATGAATTTGATAGATGTGAAGTGTCATGTTGAAGTTGACGTTTGAGTTCTATAATAGCTTGAGTGCCACAAGCTTTCCTCGTGCCCTTTCCTTACACAGACACACAACACTGCCCTTCCTGACGTGAGTCTCCTCTGCCCCAGGGTCTGTCCTGCTCCAGTGCACTGCAGGGCGCTGTGGAGGGGTGCCCTCTAGCTGCGATTTAAGGAATTGGTTACTCCTGGTAGTAACTGGTATCTTGTGATACTTAGTTTTGTTTATGACCTCCTTCTGAGGCAGCCGCAGATTTTCATGATTTTATTAAATAGAAGTAAATTTCAGAGTATTAAACAGGGCATTTGGTCTAGCCTTGAAGCTTCCCTTACTAAATTAAATGTAAAGTATGGACAGTGAGGTTTTTGTTGGAGGTGGGCAGGTTGACAGGAAGTTTTATGATCCTTACAGGCTTCATTTTTGGTGGCTGAAAATGGCACTTATATGGCGAGCCTAGCATTAGGCAAGTGGAATTACATTTGCATAATTTTTTTTTCTATCTCGCTTTTGATCAAGAATCGTACAGATTGATGTCTGCTAATCAAATTGCCCGTGTATTGATAGCCGCCAAAATCTGCTCAGCATTGAGCTGGCTGCCATCAGCGTGTGATTTAAGCTCAGTTCGTGTTACCAGTTCCTTTGCAAATTGGTTCTCCATCTAAAGCTCCCTGGAGAGCTCCAAATTTGTACAGCTGCGGGAGACCAGCCATAGGGCTGTGCCAGCCTTAACAGAAGAAGACCTTCTCTGTTCACCCGTTAAGCTTAACCAGGAGGTTCTCCAGGGCCAGTGGCTGCATTCTCGTGCCCTCTCAGTCACCTGTACCCTGACAGTAGAGAAGGCAGTGCGTGGGCTCCTGTGCAGCACGTGGACCAGGACGCCGCCTGCATGGCAGAGGGCAGAGCCCGTGTTTCATGCTGCCCGGGGTGGCGCGTGGGCGGACTCCTAGCACACTGCCCGGTGCTTGCCCGCGGGAGTTCTGTTGCGCGGGCCCGTTTGGGACGGGGCGGCTGTGACGGGCTGCTGGGGTGTGGGGTTCGTGCTGCACTAGGTGGGGTGGCGACGTGTCTCCCTGGGAGGGTTCCCCTGCTGAGGGGTGTTCGTGGAAGGCACAGCCCCGTGTCACCGCCGTGTCTTGTTGCACTGTTTTCCAGCACCCTCCTGGACAAGTAGCAAGGAAGTACAGCTCCTGCTCCACCATCTTCCTCGACAACAGCACAGTCAGCCAGCCGGACCTCAAGTACACCATCAAGTGGTGGGTACACAGGCCCTGCCTCGGCCGCCCTGCTCCCCGCCCGTGGTCATCTGGGAGCGGCCGGGTGGGGCGGAGAGTGGGGCACTGACAGGTCAGGAGAGCCTTTCCGAATGTGAGCTTGGAGGTCAAAATGTGGAGTGGTTGAAATATTTGTCAATGTTACTGCTCTAAAACTAGCTTTTAACTTACTTTTGATGTAGATTGTTAAGATGTGTTTTTATTTTGTGTGCATACCTCCTGCCCTCTCACTTTTTATGGAAGCCACCCGGCCAGCAGATGTCTGCTGGTATAAATGAGACTCCTGAGGTCCCAGTGGAGACTTGGGGACAGTAGCCCGCCTGGCAGAGCCGCGGGACCTGTGCCTGGCGTCGGGAGGGCTCAGGAGGGTTGGGTAGGACCTGCTCTAGGGGCCTTTGATTCCTTCCTTTGAAGGAGAATCTGAAAGTGTGGGGGTGGGGTGTTGGGTAAAACCCTTTCCCTTTGGGGCGCATGTCCCTTACTTGAGGGGAGGAAGGCTGTCTTTTCCTGTGTTCTACCTGCTGTGGTAACAGCCACCCTCAGCAGGGATCTCCGAGAGTCAGGTCGTCGTCAGCAGCTTGGCCGCGAGAGGGTGGGTCCTTTGCCCTCTCCGTGTGGAAGAGGGC